CTGGCTCTACACCTCTGTCCTGAAATCATTAGTCTGCATTGTTTTAGAAAAACTGTCACATGATAATAAACACAAATGTATCAGTACTTGTACTTGGAAAATGGTATTGGTGCATTACTTATATATATTTATTAAAAAAAAATAATGCATTAAAATGGGGATGTACAAATCCATGAAGCTCCATATGCTCCTTAAAAATGACGACTGCCTCATAACTTTTGAATTTTTCTCTAGTCTAGTCCTGGAGCTGGAAAAGTATCTGTACTTGTACTTGTACCGAGTATGGTACTTGGTATCTATACATCCCTACTAAACCCACTGCAGCACTACGGAACAGGCAATGTGGGAGCAATTTAATATAAATTGAGGCATATCTATCCATAAAATGGATCTAATTAGTGCACAATGCCCGTGCACACACACCAGTATTAGCTACTGTCAAAAAAATGCATATGGTGGAAAAAGTTACCATTACCCAGCATGTCTTGAGCTGCTTACTGTTGGTTCCAACACATACAGCCTGCCACAGTGCTTGTCCCCACCCTGGGACTGTCTTTACTTTGCTGCATGTTTTAGATAGATTGACCATATTCCGTATTGTCACTACCCATCCTCTGCACATGCCAGGCTCATGATAGAAAGATTATCACTAAATAGGTAAGAGCTGCGTCAACCTGAGCAGCCAGGACAGTGAAAATTTAGAAAAACAAGAAGGCCATGCCAATAGTTTTGAAATCCTGAAGTATTTGTTACTTACTTCATAAAATGGCAAGATAATAAGCCAAACTGTTTCAGGGGTCACAAAACTTCCCCTTCATCAGGGCTTAAGCTGCAGCTAGGGATGAAAATAGACTAAAAGGAGTTAGTTGGTTGGTTGGGTAGCATTTCTTACTAAAAAAAAAACACCTCCTATGACAGCCTTTGAAAGGTAGTTATAATGTGCTTAATTTGAGTTATTGAAAATACCTGAGGCAGAATCTTGTAGGGCATGTGGTGTTTTTAAAGTATCAAAGTAAAAATCAACAGTCATTTAAGCCACTGACAAAGTATGAAAATCACCTTAAAATGTAAATGAGCAAAGGAAAATAGACAGGGATCAAAGTGTTGACAGTTTATTACAGCCCATTAGTTAGAATGTGTTAAGAGCTTTTAGTCAGAGCACTTATCTTAAATACATGAATCATATACCTACATTTTGTGATAATCAACAAAATGGTCTCATTAAAGTGAGTCAAGATCTAAACTCAGTAAAGGTAGGAATAATCTTGTGTTGCCTATGGGCACAGGAAAAAAGGCTTAACCTCAATGGCAAAGGTTACAAATGCCTGCTTGTCCATCACTGTAAACCCACTTGAGCCATCATTGTCTGTGCTATGACCAGGGCAGGAAGACAGTCCCTTATTGTTCCTGAAGCCTACAGCAAAGCCTGTTGGCTACCAAAATGAGCAAGGGGTCATCAGACTCGTGTCGGGGTTCCTGTTTCTTTTCCATAAAAACATAAGGGTTATATATCGCTAAAGGGCTAGAATTAACTCCATTGTTCTTTTTGTGATTTAATAGGTAAACAGGGTATTCCTGCATGTTGTTAAACTGTCACTTTAATTAATTAAATATGGTACAGCTAATGAATCGTTAACCCCAAAGAATATACATTTTGTAAGCATTATGTTAAGCATCCCTAATTTTTATACAAGAAGAGAAACATGGCTTTTGAAAAATGTAATGGGAAATAGTTTCATCTGCCTCATTTGCACAGTAGCTCCTGTTCTGGTTTCACTGCAGAATGTAACCATTGTTGCTCATTTTCCATGTACATGTTTAGATGTGTTTGATAACTTACTTAAAGTATGGAGAGCCAAGGATTCACAAAAGGGTGAACGTCATTTTAAAAACCTTACCCCATTTACAACTGTACACAATGTCTTGTAGAACTAAGTAAAGGGACAAGAGAACTTTGGACCCTCTCTGGAAATTAGCAAAGATCTGTGCAGGGTGAAGGTTAAATATGCTTGTCTAGGATGATGACCTGATGAAGTGCAACTGAAAGATACCAGATTTATCACCCCGAAATCCAAGGAGTGATCCCGCACCTACCACTTATGCACAGAGCTTATGAGAATCTGAGCCCCTTCTTGAGCACGAGAGAGTTTACATCCTGCATTCCCTGACACATTACTTACAGTAAAAAGGCAATGAGGGGAATTTACTGCCTGCTCCAAAACTGGAGCAGGCAGCATCAGGAGCAGTTGTGCATGGCAACCAATCAGCCTCTCTCTTTCATTTTCACAGCACAACTGAACAAACTGAAGAAAGAAGCTGATTGGTTGCTATAGGCAACAAATGGAGGTTTGGTTTAAAAACGCATTGGGGGAATTTATCAAAACTTCCGAATTCTCTCTGCTCCAGTTTTGGTAAATTCCCCCAATGCGTTAATAAACCAAACCTCCATTTTTTATATGATTTTTTAAAAGATATCAACATTCTGAGCCTAACATTTGAAATTCACAAGTGACTGAAGGGGGGTGATTTACTAACCTAAACACACGCACGCACTAGGTGCGTGTGATTTTTACACAGCAAAATGTATTTATCAACCAAAAAGTCTCTAAAAGCATATTTCCACTAATGCCATATATTGAAAAATCATGCACATGATGCATATATAATGCTGCTTCACAGTTTAGACAAAAATGGTTAGCTCATGCATTTACATTCCTGCATTCATCAACGCAAGCAACACAATGTAGAGCTAATTTACACAACATCACCTTGCAATTCATGCAGGGCTTTGCACAACACACCTGCTGGGTGTGTACACACTACAGAGGTGTCTAGATTCCACCAATAGATCATGCTGGGAGGGAACACACTACAGAGGTGTATACTTGTTCGTGGCGTGTTTATAAGGTTAGTAAATCAACCCCAAGGAGTCACTACAGGATTGAAAACAAATAGTAATACACCAAGTATGATCCTGGGATATGTGCTAAATGCTAAGTGGCTGCTCTACTGTTAAGCATTGCAGTAAGGTTGTCATGTTTCAGTATACACTTAATTGCAATAACAGTGCTCTCAAAGTTTTAGTGGTCTTTTAAGACCACTTTAATACTTCAAAGTGTTCCATCTCATGCTGACAGCACACTCCCGTTACCAGCAGATCATGGCCCTAACCATCCCATCTTCCTAGCTTGGGAAGAAATGTTTTTACTATAACTGCATTGTAGTAACATTGAGAGCTTTTGCATCCTGCGTTAAAAAACAGTTACCCTCATCCTGAATTTGTTATCTGTCTTACAAAATTAAAGTTCATCTGGACCACAGTACTTCCAACTATAGGGCTAATTATTAAAAATTGCAGGCGTAAAAGTGAAGCAATTTCCAATAAAGTTTTATAAATCTTTATAAATTTAGAATAAAATAAGTTATGTGATTGTATGCTAGGCAACATCTCTATTTCTGCTCCAGTTTGTACCAATCGGATCATATTTGCACACAGGTCACCATCTCAGATTCTCAAGAATGGCTACCGTGTTCAAATTAAGAAGAATATGTAGCATAAGAGCTTGAACACATTTTAGCACTAGTCACATGGCCTGGTAAATGACAAGTGCAGGGCAATTTATAAAATAAGACAAGTTGTCAGAGTGTTTTTATAAATATAGCCCATTTTTGTTCATGCTATTCTACAACTCTACAATATTGCACAATTTATTTGTGTGACTGCCTATATCAATGCCCCCGGTGTATTTATTTTAATTTCTCAGTACTTACATGTTATACTCTTTAAAAGATGAATAGTTACTTTATATTACACTGTTTGAACAATCTTGCTCAAAGGAAATAAGCCATGTAATATTTGTAATTGGTGGCCAACTGTAACAAACCACACTCTCCAGGAGTCCTTTAGGAGGAACACTGGTTAATAGAACATATATCTGCGAGGTAATCAGTCTCACAGCTGGAATGCAGAGGTCCTCCCTGCCCACGTATTTACCCAACATAATGGAAACTCTACGCGCAATCATCTTTCAGGATTAATTTGCAGTGTCTACTCAGTTTCATCTGTTTAAAATATCAGCCAATTTATATCTAATATAAATGGGCATGAGGTAAACTTGAAGGGCAAATTCTCCACTCTCTGATTCTGATAAGGCTTGCATTTGGGATCTGTATTCCTTTCAAATGCCACTTCCATTAAACATCACTAGCTGTGGCTTAGCGGTGTTTTAAGGCACAGGGATGTCTACACCTATTCATGTTCTCAGCAGGGGTTCAGAAAGTCTCACTTGATGCAAACTTGATGTCTGTCAGAAAATATAGACTGGGACAGCATTTGATTCCCTTCGGAACATAAAACAACATGCAGGACTTTTCTGTGCTGGACATCAAAGGGCAATGATATAATCTATGTGTTTACTAAGAGATGCTCAGTAACGTGGAGTTATTTTGCCATTCAGTGAAGGCATTCCCCACTGAAATAAGATCATGACACTTTTGCTGAATGTTTCAAAGAAGGTTTCACTTAGGAAACCTCTTCTGCACACATTGCAGATGGTAGTTTAGCTTAAAGTGTATGTAAATGCAAAATTAGATTCGTCCCTCTGTTTGTACTGGTGAGAGTAAGAGTAAATATTCCAAAGTGGACACCTATCCTAGTGACAACTGTCTAAGATGGGGATTTCCATCACTTTAGGAGTAGGCATTTGGCTATGTATACATTTAAATAATCCTGAGGCTTATTTATTAAAATGAGAAAAAAAGGTGAGGTGGTGGTATTGTCTATCACAGCCATTTATAATGAGATTATTCAATCAAACCATGCAAAGAGGAAAGTGGAAGAGTGCACTTAACTACATCAACCAATCAGATTTCACTGTGAATGTATTTAGATTTTAGTATTTTTAATCAAGGTAGGAGCAATCAGACTGGCTGGCAAGGGTAACACTGATAAAGCAAACAACCTTTTATGGCACTTGGTAAAAAAAACATCAAAGCCTTACCAGTTTTCCTTAAAGGAAAGTCATCTTTGGAATCATGTGCTCCAGGGAGAGGACATTTATATGATGGAGAGGTCCCACATAGTGGAGGAGAGCTTTGATCCAATGAAGTATGATGTGCTGCCCTACAACAGGAATATAGATAGACATTTGTACACCAGTTATTGGCAGAGTGGTAGGTGAAAGTAATTGTATAATTGAATGATTATTAGCCTGAATATCTGTCTCTATTATCTATCTTTGGTAGATATTATCTATAGTCTGTACTACACATAAAGGTAAGGTAAGAGATTGTGGTGTTGGTGGTGTTTAAAACAAAATAAATTATCTTAAAAATTAATATATTGAGGGGTAATTGATCAAAACTGGAGCAACCAAAATCTGGAACCGTTACCCACGGCAACCAGTCAGCTTCTATCTTTCATTTTCAAAGCTTAACTGAACAAACCGAATAGAGACGCTGATTTGTAACCATGAGCAACTGCTCCAGATTCTGTGTGTGCCAGTTTTGATAAATTCCCCCCATAGCGTTTTACCCTAATTTTTTTTCTGTGAGAACTAAAAAAAAAAAAATATTTTTTTTTAAAAAATAAGTAAAATATATATATATATTGTGGCAGCTTATATATATATAAATATATATTAGAAAAAAGTAAATATTGCATAAAAACATTTAAACTTACAGCACACCTTAACCTTACACTTTAACTACTTTACTAAAAAAAGAAAACTGCTACTTATAGAGCTCAATAGCTTAAGCTCAAGTCAAATACCTTAACTGTCTACCTGTTTCGGGACAGGGATTCAAACTAATGAAACTAGAGATTCAGCAAGACAGCCAGATAGCTAACATTTATAGGATCAGAAGTCAGCAATGACAGCAACCACATTTCTCTTGGGAACGGTGTCTATTAATTGTCATATACATTCTTGCGGTGTAAATAACCTGTAAAAACAAACCACACATTTTTAAAGCAAATGTGCATTATGCTCTGGGACTTCAAAGCAAGCAGAGCACAATAAAAGTGATTGATAAAAAATGGGATGAGAAGAGCCTGCTGGAGAGACTTTGACCTGTCAAAGTCATGTGATCAGCCTTTACTCCAATCATGGAGTTCTCTCTGCAGGGTTAAGCCAATAGAACTCTGCAGGCTCTACACCATGGACCGCATGTTATGAATGAGATGTAAAGTGCAGACTAAGTTCTGGAGTAACTTTTCGGGGGGCTTCTTGATGGTGGCAGCGATGGAACATGTCTTTGCAAATAGCATTGGCATGACCACTTTAGTCTCCACGTAAAGAGAATATGACAGGGTGACAATGCAGAAGAGAAACTGAAAGGCAGGGACAGAATCCCCCCATAACAGGAAGTACTTAAACTAGGACCTTAATGAAAGGATTACCAGATATTATTTTAATAAAAACTGCAGATTTAAATAGAATAAAAATTACTTTTAAAAAGACAATAAAATATTATGATATCAAGATTATATGTGATCTTAGTGATTGCTATTAGATTTAAATAGAGAAGTGTCAAAGTTGCATGGCTCTGAAGAATTAAACTTGTCAATTGCAAAATAAGACAGAAACATGATGACATACGTGTACCAAAGCTTGGGGTGGCGGCCTATGGAATGACTGTTTCCGTTTGTATAGGATTCTTTTGTGGCGGATTTACTCAGAAGGAATTCTTGTAGTTTCAGCTTTACTTCAGTGCTGGCCACGGCTCCTGAAAGGCAATTGAGAAAAAAACACCTTAAAGTGTTAGACTGAGAGGAACAAAATGGTTCTCTAGACAGAAGGAGAACACTTTACTTAATTTTCATACAAGCCATCTAGCACTATAAATAAATATTAATGGGATACTGTGTCCCTCAAGCACTGAGAGGGTTAAACTTGATTTAGGAAGTGTGAGTCCATTTTGCTAGTTCCTAGGTAACAGGTCCACACAGCACACACTAAGCCAGAGGGAAAGGCCTATAAATGTGACAATTTACTTCTGCTTCCCACACTATTTGTTTACTCATAGGGTACATGTGAAATTACTTACTGCCAGCATTTCAAATTAATATTGTGACTCTGAAAGCACACAAGGCATTGTGCGGGTTGTTGGAAAAGGATTAAATGCTCTCCCCTAAGGTCAATTAAATCTCAGTTCGTGCTTATTGATTGCTAAATGAAAAACCTGCTGCACCTACGTGGTAGAGTGGGAGCAGACGGCAAACATAAAATGAGCAAATGTATTACAAATTGTTTCAGTCTCTCATACAAAGTCATTGTAATTCACAAAACACAAAGTAAAAGGCATTGAAAAGAACAGTAAGGATTTTGCTAATAGTGGAAGCTTCACCCAATATAAGTAGATAGAGGGCTGTGTCTAAGGTTAGAGTGAGATGTAGGTGCATGGGTACCATAAGGCATGTGTGGGCCTATACTGACAGTAGCATGGTAAGACAGGAAGGTATTAAAAACACATTATAAAATTTGAGTTTATTTTAAAAATATTCCTTCTCTGCCTGCTACATTTACACTTAAAGGGCAACTTCATGTAATAAAAAAAATGAAACATTCTTAAAACGATAAATATAACATATATTATTGTTGTACAAGCCATTTTGTATTTTAATATTATTAAAAATTACCTTTCCATGTATAACTGTAGCTGCTGTAATGTTCTAAATCTGTCCAAAAAGAAATCCAATACAATATGGCGACCTGGCGGCGTTCTATACACAGTTAGTATACAGAACTCCCCCAGAAATGTCACTGCCTACTGCTGTGATCGGCTGACTGATTTACCCAGAAGTCTGCAAGAAGATACAAGTTCAATTTTGGTATCCATTGCAATAGGAATCTCATTTCTGGTGAGATACTCCCTGGGTTAATTGCTACTAAAGGGATGCAGGCACTGCACCTTTCCTCGTTACAACACAGAAAGTCCACCAGCTGATTACAATGAACCCAGACCCTCCCATTCAGGGATCAGTTTGGAAAGACATGGAGAAACACACAGCTATTTCTTCAGAACAGAAACAGCTAGGAAACTGCAACAAACTTGGTTAAAATCCTTGCAATATACATTGATCACCCAGAGAGGTGGAATTACTCTTTAAGGGTAAATCCAGAATGAATAGTGAAAGGGGGTGGGGGTTGCATACCTCCCAACCTTTAGAAATGAAAAAGATGGAGATATCTTAGTATAAATTATGTAAGCAAGGGACAAACCCCTGCCACAAAACATTTATATGGACTATGTGAGATTAATGTGGAAAACAATTTATAGCTGTCACTGGACAGGAATAGAGGGGAAATCTTCCAAAGAGGACTGTCTAACAGGCGATTTCCCTTTACTTTGATGGGATTTTCTCTAATTTCCTGTTGTACCTCCATGACAGGACGTGAAGAGAAATCTTTCCAATGGGGACAGAGAGCAAAAGATAACTTCAGAGGGGTTAAAACTCTTCTCTAGTCTTTTCAAATATTTTTTTTTAAGTTTTGGTTTTAGATATGCTTTTTATTTAAGATAGATACATCTGAAGAAAAGAGAGTTGAGGGGTGTCAACAATGTAATCTAACATGCAATTTGCTCCATTAAGTCAATACTGGAAACCAGTAACATTTCCAGGGAGAAACCTTTAAACCCTGAAACTGACTCCTAAAATCATAACAAGACACTACTTTTTGGACAGTTTCTAACTTTGCAGTCAATGATAAATGTACTCTTCATGTAAATAAGATTCCAATTCACGGGAACAATACAATAAAACAACATTTTAAAATGACAAGACAGAGCTTTTCACCTTTAAAGTAAATTGCATGCATTTGTCTCCCTCTAGTGAGCACACACCGAGATCTCAACAACTGACCACATAGCATGTTTAGGTCCTTTTATGGTTCCTCTTTAGTGAAACTTCCTGCAGATATTTAACTATCTAAAAATGTTCAAGGTTCTTAAAAAGGCTCTTGAAAGTATTGTTGTGACTGTAAAAGCCAGCACATCCTACTTACTAAAAATACCTAGAAATACAATCTCTGTTAGGAAGAATCAAATGGGCCAATGGTCTACAGAAATGCCCAGTGACATGAAAATGATCTGCTGTTTGTTACCGAGATGTGTAAAAATAATCTTCATCGTCATTGTTATCATTAGTAGCAGACTTTAGAGCTGATCAGATTTTGTAAAATCCACTCTGATAGTAATCTACTGACGTTTTTTTTGAAGAGTTGTATATTTGAAAAGCCAGTTTATTTGCCCTTTCTTTTATTTTTATATATTAAAAAATAGCCTTTCCCCTGGAAGTGAAAGTGGATCTGAAGCCATGCAGTCAAATCTTCAATAGAGCAATTGATAAAGTATAACGTTTCGACAATGCAGAGGCAGGGACCAGGATAAAAACTGTTACACCATTATAATTCAGCCATCATAGTACTGGAGAAAATACCCGTTCTGTGTATTCCCTCATTTAAATCACTGAGAGTGAAGTACTTTTGTTATTATGTAATAATGTTATTCACCCAGTGAGACAGTATACTACAGTCCCTGGGGAGTAACATGGCAAAGGGTTCAAATAAACTATTTTAACAGTTTACTTCCAGGTACAAACTGTGCACATTGGGCACAACTTACAGCATGTCAGAGCTGGTTCTCAGGAGACATAAACCCAGATTTTGCTATTTTTGTTTATCTTTCAAAAATATGGTGAGGCCTAGGACTGGAAGCAGTAAAGATTCTGCAGCCAGGCTTACCACTGTTGTAAGTTGCTAAGAATAGTTTAATTTACAGAGGCACTATACCGCTGTTAAAAAGTATGCAAATATATGTATAGGTGCCCAGCAAGGTCCACGTCACTACCTCCTCTCAGATTAATTGTGGAAAGTCATCTGAATTAGCTCACACCCCCGGGAAATTGGTGAGATCCTTGGAAAATTTCAGTGTTCTGGAATGCAATATAATTTTTTTCTCAGTCCATGCCATGTCTTAAAATCACCAGACTGGCTGAGTCTTAAATGGTCAAAAAGCCTAGTTATTTAGCTGTGTCCCTAATCAGAGTGCCAGAGCTACTATACCCTCCTGTACTCATAGTGGAGGAGGTACCTGCTTCCAAGCCCATGCTCACCCAAAGGGGAGGGGATGTGCTGTGTGGTTCCCTGCCTCCAAGCCCATGCTCACCCAAAGGGGAGGAGGTATGCTGGGTGGTTCCCTGCCTCCAAGTCCATGATTACCCATAGTGGAGGAGACTTACTGTGGTTCCTTGACAGCAAACTCATGATAGGAGATATGGTGCATGGTTCCTTCCCCCCAAGCCCATGATCACCCATAGTGGAGAAGGTAAGCTGCATGGTTCCCTGACTCCAAACCCATAGTTACCCAAAGTGGAGGAGGTATGTTGTGGGGTTCCTTGCCCCCAAGCCTGTGATCACCCAAAGTGATGAAATTCACCCTGTAAGCAGGACTATATTTGGACAGTATGTAAATGCTTATCTGAATAATGATACTGTCTTGTATAAGCTCTATCTCTTGTGTCATGTGATTATTTTAGTAAACATACCACTAGAATGAGCTAATGGAAGCAGCATGGGGTCTGCTTCAAAAACTGAACTACTTTTCAACTGTACCGAACACTCAGTAAGAGAAAGGAGAGAAGGTTTTCTGAACCATAAAGAGCCTTCTGACTACTCTCAATATCCCTTGCATTCCCTTCCCCCCAACATTTACATGTTAAATTTACAAAAATAAAAAAAAGTCTAGAGGTAGAAAGAAGATGGAAACAAAAGAAAAAAATGGATGCTTTTGAGTTTTGGTGTTGCCACACCTAACCCTATTATCCCAGGTCTATTATGCCATTATGGTAAAAACAACACTGCCATTTTTTTTACAAGGAGGTATAGTATCTCTTTAGAGAAACTGACTGATTTTTTATTCCATAGGTATGCTTTAAAAACAAACACACTTGTGAGAAACAGGTCACTGAAATTATAGGGGAAAATACATTATTACAACATATATTCCTTGCCAACTGCAAGTTGAAGGAAAATAAAGTATGTTTTATAAGCAATCCGATAGGTGTCAGCAAGGTCGAACTGACATATAGAATTTACATCTGACTGGGTATAAAGGATGTTAAGTTGTTAGTGACACTCCATAATGGACACTGATTACAAGAGCAAACAGTAACTGGAGTTGGGGGAAAACAGAAATTAAAATCAAATCAAACAATCATTTGAGGTTGCACAGTAAGTAGAGTATTTCTAGCTGGAGTGGACATGCTTTGTCCGGGTCTGTGGAAATCTGCCATGGCTGCAATCTGAGTGACCACAGCGTGTTATTTTATGAACTTGCCTCTGAAATATCAATGCTATTACGTTGTTTATACTCTTTTACTACTGTCAGTATAAATTACCATTCAGAGGTTTACAAGTAATAAATACTCCTAAGTCTGATTAAATTATGTGGTATATGAAAAAAAAAGACTACTCAGAAAAATATAAAAAACTAAAAGAATTAATTAGGACCTGACTGCAAGGCCATAAAGAATGAAAGTGTCAAACATTGTAATGTATTGGATACAATCACTAAAGCTGGCCATACACGAATCACATTTCAGCCGTTTCCTGCTGAATCAGCCAAAATTCGACCTGCAGGCGGTCCTGCCAGCATTGTCCAACTCAACAAACTTCTATATAAAAATCCAAGGAGTTGGGCTGAATAGTGTTGGCTGAACATTGACTACAGCCAATCGACTGCAATCACGGTTCCAGTATTCTGACTGCTGTGGGCAGTGAATACAATACGAGTGAATACAATATTTGATTGACCAAATGTGATTCTACTCATAGTAACATAGTATGTGAGGTTGAATAAAGACCAAGGTCCATCCAGTTCAACCTATGTATGTCAGTGTGTGAATGTATCTTACTCTAACACTTCCCATATCCCTGTAGATTCTGAGAAAGAAGAAACTCCCCCTTGCGAATTCTAAGATTGAACCTCCTCTCTTCTAACCTCTTATTGTTCACCATTCACCTCTGTGAACTGCAGGAGACCTCCCTAGGGCGGCTATGCTTACTCACCTTACAGTATCTATGGAACAGCACTAATGTCATACTAGCACAGGAAGTATGATAGGACTACAAAACACCTAACCCTATCCTCATTTCCATAGCATTGGAGGGAGGTCTCCTGCAGTTCACAGAGGTGAATGGGGCAGGGCTGATAACTCCTTGAAATAACATTGCAGAGTGCAGAGGACACAGGTCATTTTTTGAACTTACTGAATAGATGTAACAAAATGCTTTAAGCATATTTAATAGCTCAAAAGTGAGTAAATAAGTCAAGCTCTAGTTTAAAGTTTTAAATATACTTTAACTAGCACTAATCTAGGGTCATGTAGCATGGTAATGACTACCATAAATGGGTTATCCACACTTACCCAAGTATATAACCATGTTTCTTTACCACCAAAGCCTATGCGAAAGTGACACCTACAGGACAGGATACAGTATTACCAAACTATGCTGATTCCTACTGCTGAGCCCCCAGCTGGAAATGATACACGATGATACTTTAATGACACATGTATAAGCATAGAAATTGCTGCAGCCGTCTTACGTTCTTTTGCTCTTTCCTTACTGCGAGGGTGAGACAGCTGTTGCTCGCGGCGATGCCTTTCTGCTTCTTGTTCCTGTCTCTGTTGCTCCATTTTGTGCTCTTTCTCCCGTTCTAAGATCTCTTGTTTTTGTTTCATTGCTAGAAGTTCTTGCTGCAACTTGACAATGGAAAAACATTCAGAATCTACTCTTTTGAGTTATATGTACATACGCCATATTTATTGTTACTTTAGGATGTTACGAAATTAGTAGGATATTAAAGTAGAACTAAAGTCAAAACTTATTCTTTGAATTCTGGAAAGAGTAAGGGAGGGTTATATAAGTCCTGTCAGCTTGTTTTTTTTTGCCATTGGGGATATGTACCTTCACTTCCTGTTCGATAGCCACAACAGGAAGTAAGAGGAAATCCTTGGTCGTCAGTATGTTTTTCCACCAGAACGAATGCCCCCATTGGAAAATTTGGGCTTTTCTTTCGTTTTCATGTTTAGTGATAACAGTCATTAGGACAAATAGAGGGGTGAATCTCCCTAACAGGGACACAGACAGAAATAAAAACCTTAACAGGTGTTCTAATCCCTCTACATTCTATGTAAAACTTAAAACTTATGCCTTTACCCCAACATCACTGGTCACTGGCGACTGGTTAGCTGACCATTTAAATACATTTTGAAGTCCTAATCAGTTATAAGTATTTTACATTGTTCACACTAAAGAAGCAATTAAGCCACTAAAACATCATTAGCCTTCTTGGACAAGGGTAACATTTTGGGAAAGAAAATAAGAAACATCATAAATGGAAGCCTTAGATATGGAAATATAAGCTTTAAGTGACTCTTACCAAAACAGTTTCTCCCAAAGTGCAACAAACTACAGTAACATATTAGGCTCTCCACGCACATTACAATCTAAACATAACATCTCTGTACAATCAACTTTAGATCTACTAAAACTATGTAAGGACCTACCTAGACTATCCAACCAATCTATATCCAATCAGGCAGACCCTTGTACTACATAGATGTTGCTAGATCTAACCAGATTGTACAATCAGATTCTTATGTATCTTTGTGTTTATTTCTTTAAAATAATGTTCCCTACCTGGGTGCTGAAGCTTTTCATCATGCAGCTTTTCATTATTGACAACACTGTTGATTTTGCCATTTCCATGTACTTCCTTATTGTCAGTGGCAACGCTATAACCGCCAATCCTCTGGCTGTTACGTTGCTACTCTCCATGCGCATACTCCCCAAGTGCCCTGCTTAGAACTTTTTTTTAACACACATGGCCACACACTACACTACAATCACAAGCAGCTGCAGTGCCCAAGTTTTTGTTTTATAATTGATCCTGTGACTTCTTATTGTATTTTCCTGAACCCCAGCTGTCATTGCAAATGCCATATAATATTTAGTATTTCTGGTTATCCTAAAACTACGCATACTTGGTACTTAAAATGTATGTAAAGCCAAAAGGTTTTTCTTAGTTTTGGATAGAATGTGGAAGGGTTTAAACCCCCATCAAGTTTTTATAGTTGTCTGTCTTTCTACTGTGATTCGCCCCTTTGTTGGTCCTGGCGACTGTTATATCTGGTAGAGGAAGTGACAAGAATCCAAAATATTTGAATTGTAACAGGAAGTGAAAGAATAAGATGACCCCTCTCTTTTAAAAGGTCTCCTTTTACTATCTACTGTTTTGGGGGTCAGGAAGTGAAATCTCCCCAACAGGACACAGACAACCTATGTTTGGTATTTACATACACTTTAATAAACAGGTTGCACACATCTTGCGTATGCAACGGGCAGTGCAGTGGCTTAGTGGTTAGCACCTCTGCCTTCCAGTACTGGAGTCCCTGGTTCAAATCTTGGTCAGGACACTATCTGCAAGGTGTTTGCATGTTCTCTGGGTACTCCAGTTTCCTCCCACACTCCAAAGACATGCTTTGGATTGTAGGCTCTTTGAGGGTATGCTAGAAGGTAAATCGGCCCAGTTTGTATGAGCAATAGGGACCTTGGATTGTAGGCTCTTAGAGGGCAGGGATGGACTGATATGAATGTGCTGTGTAAGTTGTCAGCACTATATAATTACCTATAATAAATAAATGAAAGTTCTTGTACCAGTAGAGGCGAAAAAGAAAAATTATACTGACCAAAGACCTAGATACCCACAACAGTCAACAGGAATGTATTTTTAACTAATCAGACTAGAGGAAAATGGAAGATGATTGGTTACTCTCGGTTAATGCACTGCAAATATCGGTGTCACTCTTTACACTACCTTAATAAATGAGCTCAAGAGTCAGTGTAAAGACTTGGCATTCACTTTACAAAATGCTTAGTTTGTTTTTACATATAAATAACACAAACCAAGTTTTAAATTAGCCATTCAGAAAAGAAGCAAAGAACAAACTGCTGCAATTAAACCAAAGATCCATGTAATTTCTATATCAGACAAAACCGTCCATCTCAATCTAAAAGTGTTTACATCGTACATTAACCGGTCTTGTGCCAGAGCTCTGCAATGGGTGGTACACTGTGTCACATACATCCCCGGCAGCTCAAGTTGCAAGGCCGGAGCTTTCTTGGAAATCACATTTCTTTGTAAAGAACTTAATGGAAGCAATGCCCTAGGGAACCATTCACAGTCAGTTATAAATGTTCTTAAGAGAAACATTGCTAGTCACTCTTTTCCTCTTTGGATAACAGACAAGGGGAATGACAATGGAAGCCCTGTTAATATGAGAAATCTACTCAACTATGCAGGAAACAGATTTGCTGAATTAAAGAAATGTGGTTCCCCACTGCTTGTTTAGGGAGAGAGGCCCGAGGACAATTTGACTAAAATCAAAAACAACGTTAACCTTTAAGAAGTGGAAAGACATTAATCATGCATAGTGCTGGAACCCGTGTTATTGCACCATCTGACAACTGAAACTTCTATTCTGCAAAGCCCTGCATACCATGTGAGCCCTCTGTAACATTTAATAACCCTGAATTACAACACTTAGACAACAGAATTATCACATAATTATATATTATTCCCTGTATATACAGACGCACACTAACCAGGTGAATTAAATCATTTAAAAACATTTTGTAAATGAAATCCTTATTGAGTATCTGTTGTGAAGTTCTAGATGTTATATAGTTGAAATATCATTATTTAGAGAAGAAAAACTATAGTCAGATATGACATTTTTTAATGCAGACTGCCCCATGGTGAGTTTTCATTAGCCTGAAATTTTCTGCAACATTTTGCTATTTTGGCTAAATGCATGGGAGTCAGTTGGAAAGGTGAAATTATCTTGTTTTTTTGGTGGTTTTTAAGGGTGCAATGGGCTTTACATGGCTTCTAAAGGACCTGCTCTTGTGCCACACAACTGCCACTTATTAGCCCCATTATTTAACATCAGTAATTTAGAAACGGACAGAAAAAGCTATTTTTTTAACTGACATTACACTAAACAACCAAATACACAAAAAATACAAAAGCTATTAAATTAAAAAAACTTAACTAAACTTTTAGGAACTTAACAAGAAAAAATTTAGACCTTGGTAAAATATCTCCAACAGCCAAAGTCACTGGAGTGCTGGAAGTTTTGCACTAGCAATAAATCCATACAGCTGCCTCAATAAGTAAATCCCTATTGTAGGTATCTTCTTTGGTCTAAACAGCCCCTCAGCAGTTCTCAGTGAAGGAAATTGCATAGTAGAGAATCATGTGATAAGGCACACTGTGAAAACCTTCTATATCGAAAAACAGAAAAAAAAAGATTCCCTAAAAGTGACCCTATAACAAAGAAATCGTGTTTACTAGGCACCACTTGATGGCCTAATTCTACTTGTGTCCATGGGTTAGACTTCAGATTTGTAGAGTCAAAACTGTAAAAATGTAACACCTAAAGGAATACATGACATCAAACATGATACAGTTATACATGCAAACAATAAAGTATCAGTAGACCATCTAGAGTAAATATGTATCTTGATTCGGCAACCATGTAGTCTTTAACTCAGAGGGTTCAATGATAACTGTTAATTTGTGGTGCCTTTGTAATTGTTGGAGCCTGCAAAGAGGTCCCCTTTGGCCAAAGCACGTGCACAAGTGCTCAGACACGTTACTGTTATTTCTTAAACTTTTCATACTTTTCTGCCTCTTCCTGTGATGCTCTACTCTTTTTTTTGCCACAGCAGCTCTTCTGATACACTGCCAGTCTGCCACCCAGCCTTCTCTCAAAATGCCCTACTACCACCGCTAATGTAAAAAAGTCCTGTTACAGTCTTTTTTATTATGATTCAATCTTTTGAGCCTCCAAGAGATGCTTTGGGCCAAGAGTAGGCAACCTCGCATGTGAGGGTGCTTAGGTACTCCTGTGCATAGAGCATCATATGTAGTGTTAAATCTAAGGCACCGCTGCCTCTGACTGCTAGTCTCAGGAGATTATTATTATTTAGTGATACTATTACTGTGCTGCTCACTGTTCTCATTGCTGAGGGCTCTGACATGGGGAAGCAAAACCCTGCCTCTACCAATATGGTCGCCTCCACACATAGACACAGTGCACAGCAAGGCACGATAAGTCAGTAATAGAAAAAGATCAGGTGTAGGGAAACCATGGGCAATACTGGTGACTAGCTCTCTGATAAAGAAATATATTCCTTTATTGTACATTATGCAGGGCTGTAGGACAAACTAGCTGTGCTTGCATTTCCAAACTAATAATTGCAAAACAGCACATTTTTCTTTGTGTTATTCAGAGTCAATGAGCGGAAATCTGACCTTAGACAGGGATGCAAAAATGTGAAATTATTTTGCTCCTTTGAAATAAAAAAAAAATGAGATACCCATAATCTAACGATATCTAATAATGGGCTACAAAAGACGTACTTAAGCATAACTAAGTAAACACTTCATCACAGTAAGAGTTTTCTAAAGCAGCCAGGCAGACCACACAACTCCTGGAAGACAGCGGTCCCACAAACACTTGCTGTGTTTCACTTCCACTTCAATTTGCATTGGCATTGACATTAGCAGGCTCCATAACAACCGCTGTTTGGAGGCTTAGGACTGTTCCCTGACCACTCAGAGTCATTACTTAACAACATAAATATTGGCTGGCAATAAGACTTTAATTGTTTTGATTTATACTGGAATGTTTCAGCTCAGTCATTCTTTGGTAAGTGCTGTCACATGACTGCTTTCAGCTTCGGCTAAAGAACACAGATGGGCATGTGACGAGCTGGGATCAATATGTAGGCCATAACTGGCTGCTGAGTGTGCAACTGTTTCAGTACTTGCTGAAGATTCCATTCATATTGAGTAATCATAGCCACACAAATATTCAGATGTGTTTATTAGCTAGGAAACTTCCATGGCTGTCAATAAACACAACCATGATATTTAGCAAATCTGATGACTAAATTCACCTGGATATTATATTACAGTAGCATTTTGCTGCAATGAAAAGGTTACTAGGAGCACAACCATTTTGTAGGATTTAATCTTTTCATATAATGCATGTCCTAGGGTGTGTGTACACATGAGGCAGAAGAGTCCCATTTATTTCAATAGAGTAGTGTAGATTATGACATTTTGCATTGCGTTTCTATGGTCTTGCATAGGGGTGGGCAACGCTGGCCCTCCAGCTCTGCTTTAACTACAAATCCCATAATTTATTTAATTATTAAAGGTATTTATAAAGCACCGACAATTTACACAGCACTTTACATATTTGCACATTCACTTCAGTACCTACCCTCAAGGAGCTTACAATCTAAGGTCCCTATCTCGCATGCATACATTGAGGGCCAACTTAGAGAGGATTTTCTGTCAGTGTCTTATTTCTCACTGTGACCCTGCTGGGAAATGTTTACCTCCATTTTTTACTTTTACTTTATATTCTTATTTAATATTGAAGGTAGATACAAAATACAGTCATACAGAGTCAGGTTACATAGTGCATATCCATGAGGAAGATATGCTGAAGCAGTATAATAAACACTCTTTAAGATAAAGTCCCTGAGTAAAAATAGTGCAATGATTGGGTTACCTTCATTTGCTGTTCCTGTGTCACGCGATACAAGTAATGGGGGTGCTGGTGTCACCATGACAGTTCTACTTGAACAGCAATAAAAAAAACATTGTCAAAAGTTCTGAACTTCCCTCACTAAACTATTCATTTGTTTTTGTATTACTATTGGAGATTAATATTTCCAATAGGGCCACAGATGTCAATAAAAAACTGACAGAGACTCAAACCATTTCCCTTCTTTCCAAAACAAAATCATTTTTTTTAAAGGAGAACTATTGGGTTAGTGCTTTTCCCCATAGTTCTCCTAATGATAACAGGAGGACACAAACTAGCATCCTCCCGTCACCTTAAGCTCAGTATACCGCGAGCTACAGCTCGCGGTACACTGAGACGCCGCAGCTGAAACGGATCCCAACAATTATGTCTGGATCCGCCAAGCTGCGTGAGTGACAGCTGGCTCTGCCTATCTAGAGGCAGAGCCAGCTGTACCCGCCCCCTCCCCCGTCTGTTCCGCCAGTCAGCGCTGGAGGATCGGAGCGGGGAGGGGGGAATCTAGCTCTCTGCCGTGACAGGATCGAGAAGTGAGCGAACGGTATGTATTCACTCACTTCCCGATCTACTGAGCCAACCTGTGACAGTTTCATTGTCACAGGTCGGCTAGAACTATGAGGATGAGTGCAAAGCACTCACCTCATAGTTCTCCTTTAACTGGAGCTGGGCCTTAAATGAAACCTGTACTGAGGGAATATGTAGGCTGTCATTACTGACCCCTACTTCTATATAGTGACGCAGAACAAGTATACAAGCCGGGAGTTCTTTCTGTCCTCTGACTTCACATACTGCATACTTGTTCCAGGTCCGGGACTCAAAGTACTAAAGCCAGAGACAGCCAGCTAAGTATCACTTTGAGATGGAGTCATTAATGGCAGTCTACCTGTATCTCTCAGTAATGATAAAGGTACAAGCCATGCTATGAAATCTATGGTACCAATGATTTAAGCTGCTATGTTGTTAAATAAACCATTTGCATTCAACTTTAACTCAAGGAACAACTTTTTTTAAGTGCTGGATAGCGAGGGAAAGGATTAAAAGCTCTGTCAGGGTTTTCTTGCAACATGTGTGTTCATTTGGGAGATTTTTGCTCACTTATAGGATGCAACAGGAAATCCTCCAGTGGAGACACAGGCAGAAATAAAAATAAATGTTTCAGTAGAGTGGGGAAAGTTTAGAACCCCTTTTAGGATTTTATTGCTGTCTGAGTCCCCATAAGATGGGTTTCTCTTCAGTTCCTGCCGAGTCTCAGGAGACAAGTGTCAGGACAGAACAGGAAGTAAGAAATTTCCTCTATGGGAAAGCTGGCAGCATTTAAAACCTTCCCCACTTACTTGATCCAAAACTTAAAAATATACAGTAGGTTTTAGCTGGAACTAGACTTTGATTAAGTTTCTTGTGTTGTGAGAGGAACATCATGAATAGGAACAAGTAGAGAGATTTTAGCAAAACTGGTTACCCCTTCAAAATATAGACCTTACCCCTAATAAAGTTTCGCTGAGACTAGGTTCACACCTGGGCAATCCGTGACCGCGTGGCAATTGTGCACAAAACCGTGCAGATAGCTGCACGATCACTGAATTGGCCACCACTGCCGATCGCACTGACGGTGCCATTATTTTCTAATGGCACCCCAGTCGCGCCAGGAAGACCTCGCGGTTTCCCACCGTGATACTGCTGGTGCAATTGAACACGATCACGGCTAAATAAGCCACACGTCATGTGTCCCAAAAAGGTACTTGTATCTTTTTTCAGCGATTGCTGTGCAGGTGAAACCCCATTGAAATCAATGGAGCCGCGTGGCAATTGCTGTGTGTAATTGTGCACGATCGCGCAGTCCCAGGACACGCGTTCAGGGATTGCTCAGCTCTGAACCTAGCCCTAAAAGGAAATCTGAGCTACATAGGTTCATTTTGCTTGCACATATGGAGAGGAGGGACAGATAAACTTTAGGATCTTCCCTATTCCAATCACAGAACAGATGATCACAGATGTTTTATGAATGGAGAAGGGGAGAAGAAGGGGGAGAGTGGGGGGAGATTCTTGACTGTATGAGAGATAGAACTGTGATTTACAGCACCAAAAGTTCGACAATTACAGTAGTTGCGAGAGTGAATGAAAGTATGAGATGTACCTAATGTTGAAGCACCCACCCATAAAACACCCATCACTGTAGGTATTTTGTTGGTACATAGCAAATGTCGATTTAATTTCACTGGAGTTACACTTAAAACACCACCAGAAAAATCTTAAAGTGATATTAAAATCAAAAGATTATTAAACCATTTCAAATGCTGATGAAATCATTTACAATGGATACTGCTTCTTGAAAGTTTTAGTTTCCTGCAGTATCAGGTGGTCCCCTGAGCACTGGCACCGATATCCTGTTTTAGTGTGGATCCTTTCCATTGCAGGATCCTAAAGAGCCACCCTTGGGTGTGCTAGTGAACTTTGTGTGTCTCCACAAACACACAGGCACAGCAAAGCCAGCCTCTCCCCTGCTCCCCACTCATCCTTAATTCCTTCTTTCTCCCTCCTCCCTTCTCTTAGCTAGTAGATGGACAGCTGTTGGAGATTGCTCCCTTGTGATCTTGCACTGTTCAAGAAGTTCAGGGAAGCAGAGCTGAGAGAGTTGGAGACAGCTGTTCAGAAACATAATGATTGTAACAGCTTGGGCAAACATTTAAAGTAACACTAAACTCAGGAGGTAAATCTTAAAAATACATTCAAATACCTCAGGCTAAACTCCTGCTTTTAGTATAATTTTAAAGAAATGCTTTGCTGGGCAATGTCTATTTATTTGATCTGGATTCATTATTTAAAAAAAGTTCAAGGGCTTATACTACTTTAATTTCCCCTTACTCAAGTCCTCCAATGCTTTTCCCCAAAAATAACAAAATGTTGCTGATATTCATTACAAGCTGTCATGCTGACCCATTGATAATTAAAATTCTATAAGCAAAGAGCTTAAACACAAACATCTTCAGACAGATGTCAGCAATGGCAGCCCCCATTATTTTTCTTGTGAGTGCTTTACTAGAAATCTTGTCCCTTTTGCCAAAGAAAAAAAAACAAAGACCACTAGAGTATACTAATATTAGTAAACTGGTACCTTGAGGTGCTCCTGCAGCTGGGCATGGTGTTGTCTTGTGAGGTTTTCGTGCTGCTTCTGAAACTCGGCAATCAGCAGCTGTTTCTGAATCTGCTGCTGCTGTTGAATTAGTAATAACTCTTGCTGCAGCTGCTTCTCTCGTAAGCCAGGATCTAAGATAGGCATCACTGTTCTTAGATCCGTCCGTAGGTCCAGTGGTGTGATGGGATCCAAACCCACGGGAACTTCAGTCTTCACATCTGTAACAGAAACCAAACTACACATAAACACACAGAGAACACAAATAACTTTTAACAGGAATACAAATACTGGAGTTTTCATTGTAAAACATTTTGCATATAGATAAAAAAAGATTTTAAATATTGTCTTTATTATATTATGTTTTATGTTCCTTGCAGCTTTCCTCAGCAAGAATCCCAGTAGGTTTACTAAGATACCAGTAATGGTATGACACATTTCCACTGACCCCAGTCAGATAGTGCTCCTACTTGACAGGCAGCATTTTGGTGAAATTGATCTCTACTTTATCTATTGTTTACCACAATATGACAGTCTATGGAGGTAGGTTTTAGTAACGGCACTGTGGCCATATAGTTCTAAATCTAATCAAAGACATCTGAAGAGTGGGCATGGACCAAATGGCACGAAGTTGTTAACCCTAATACACACACAGGAAGACATATTTGGTGGCAGCTAAAGGATTGGCCAAAAAACAGAACATAGCAAGTCGCTATCTTCACTGACATCGGTCGTTAAGGAATGCCTAAGGAGGTCCATGGAGTTCAATGTGGGATTCAGTTGAAACAAACCAGGCCAGACAAAATCACATTGTAATTACATATTAATAAAGTGTCAGTGCACCCATAACAAATACAATGGGGGGAATTAACAAAAAATGTCTGAAACAAGTTCTATCTTAAATGGTGTGGTCACCCATAGCAACCAATCAGCCTCCATCTTTATTTTTTTTCCCACACAGCTTAGAAAATGGAAATTTAAAAGCTGATTGGCTGTGCTCCAGCTGAGCCAAAGTTTGTCTCAAATGCATTAATTTCCCCCCACTTTTTCTCAAGGATGTTCATAGAAGGAAAGTTGTATTATATCCACTTGATACCTTACAGGCTTGCCCACACTTCATACAGGGTGCTGTAGTAAATTGATTGCCATCACCGTGTAATCATAGGAAAATAAGGATCTTCACCAGCATGCCTAGTTATAGTGATAATCTTGTACTTTCACATAAAGCAGCAGGCATTACAAGGCAACATGTTGGAACCTCGCAGGATCCCTTTCTCAAGGCAGAGTGACGCACTAACATTAGATGTAGAACTTAAACCAGAACTACACCCTCCTATACTTTACAGCCAAGGAAGGTGTGATCTTAACCTGTATTTGGATTGGAGTTGCCATGGTGCTGCACATTTGATCAGCTATGAAACTAGCCAATTGAGGCCATGAAAGTGTAGTTTAGAGCTGAAATAAGCACACTGACAACCTCGACAGTTGCCATGCCTTAAAAATAACAGTTTTTGGGAGACCATTTCGTTGGTAGGTCTAGTTCTGCTTTAAATAAAACCAACATCCAATCAGAAAATCATACAAGTTAAAGGCTTTGAGCCACCTGCATCCTAGCAACCATGGATACTAGGTGGCAAAGAGCCATCTGCATCCTAGCAACCACGGATGCTAGGCAGCAAGAAGCCATCTGCATCCTAGCAACCAAGGATGCTAGGTGGCAAAGAGCTGTCTGCATCCTAGCAACCAATAGGGCACCTTTGCGCTATAATGCTTTGCGCATGTAAACATTGCACAAATGTTTACAGGGCACTTTTTACGCAGGACCTTGCTGCCTGCTTCTTCCAGAAAGATACTGCATAATACTATTTGCCATATTTTCATATGGCCATGTGCATGAACTTTACATATTTTAGCGCTATATACACGTTGCAGCACATATATGTGAGTACATTTTGCACCATTACATGTGTTTTTATATACTGGATTTTTCTGCCAAATTCTAGCAACAAGATCCAGCAAGAATATGAGTGTTTTCGATAAGCCCATGTGCATGGGCCCTTAAACAACACATGACAGCTTTCTACAACTCTTGCAACTGTATTAAGTTTGGAAATCCTCAATAATCATATGTAATGATTTAGCATGCTCTACAGTAACCTCTATATACCATAAAATAATAAGTAGCACACTTTCCTCCCACAGTAATTTCACCACCCACTTATATGAAAATATTTATCAACGAAACTGATGGAAGAGGGGTCGTCAGCTCACTCTACAATCCAGTCATATCAATTCTAATGCTTGAGTTTTACAGCCTTTTTCCTGTCACTTCATCACAATGAATTATGTATTCAAATGTTCAGTGTCTCCACAAACTATCTCTCTCATTAGAATAGGCTATTAAATTGACATATCGTAGGAGGTTATTTCCATGGCAAGCAATTAACAATTGCTGTATATATCAATCAAGACGTGTGCAGATTAGGTCGAGGAAAATCGACACCTGACATATGTTCATAAAATATTGGATTTCTTGATCCATTGTTTAACATTTTAATACAACTGGCTGAAATATTTGTAAAATATCTTGTAAAGTCTGTTTCTTACATACTATGCAGTGATGTTGCTGTTTATAGCTGGAAAGTAGTAATATTGCAAACTTATGTTTGGAAAGTAATGATGTCGATTCTGTAAAATATATCTTTATAACATATTTCAAGGGTGTTTATGTTAACACAACATATTTTTGGATAGTAAGGAGGTCAGTTTTGTCAGGTGATGTTTGCTTTTGATTTGCATTTAATGAAATACATACACCCCCCTATTTTAAAATCATATCTAAGAGGTATCTTTGGAGTTATATAATCTGTATGAAAACTGTATATCCTGCAGCTCCTTTTCTTTTTAAATACTCACTGAATTCCTCAAATCTAATGCCTGAGCATATTTAAATAGGTAATTAACAAAACATATATATGTCCTCCTATGCATCCAGTAAGGGACATTGTCTTACATACAAGAATACATGCTACATTTAAAGTAGAACTCCAGGGCAAAAATTCTTAACCCTTGCAGTGGGGCTACCCTTGCACTAAAAGGGTTAACTGGTCGTTTGGGTCTAAGTTTAAAAAAAAAGTTATACCCACTTTATCCTCAGAGCCAGCCGGCTCCTAGAGTGTCCCTTCCGTCTTGCTCACCCATCCACCGCAGCAGTCTAAGGACCTCTGAGTCATCACATTTAATACAGTGTATAGACAGGAGACAAGAGACAGGCTGGAGGGAGTGCTGCCACAGTCGGCCGGCTCAGAGAATCGGGTGAGCATAACTTTTTTTTTTTTTTAAACCTAGAAACAAACGAGCACTTAACCCTTGCAGTGCAGGGGTAGCCCCACTGCAAGGGTTAAGAATTGTTTCTTAATTTTTCTTCTTTAAAGTCCATCCAAAGCCAAAACCTTTTTTTAATTTCATGTAGAGTAGGGAAGGGTTAGAACCTCTGGCAGGTTTTTAATTCCCCATTTCTGAGACAGCAGGGGTCACAAACAGCAATACAAACCTGGATTGGCAGGCTTGGGAGGGGAAGCTGCAACTGGGTTTAAATATACAAAAGATGATTGGTGCCCAGTTCTTCATCCATTACGCTGCAACAGAGCAATCTTTAATATTGATTGGACCCTCGGCAACCATATTCTTGGGCCCCTGCCCCTACCCACCACGTTGCCCCTTTTGCTCCACGTTAAAGACAGCCCTGCACACCAAGGAGGTGAACGTGGTTTAGAAGCTAAAAGGTGGCCATTAGACATGTGCACAGCAAAAAAAAAAGTTTTTAGACAACACAAATGAAAACGAAAAAAACGTTTTAATTTGTTTCATCAAATGAAACTAATTTTTATGTTGTTTCGGCTTCGGAGGCAAATCCGAAACCGCACACTGAAACCGCAGAACGAGCGATGCCATCTTGGTGAATACCAAGATCTACTCCAAAATGGCGGCAAGCATGCACAGAGCGCGCTGGTTACCGATATAGCCACCGCTCATTCAGCACGTGACTTGACCATCATGTGATGCCATAAGCTCCGCCTCCAAGATGGCGGCGGGCATGCACAGAATATTGTCCGCCGGCGTGTTCTGAAAACGGATTTATGTATGCCCGAATATCGTTTTAGTATATTCGGGAATATATGAAATTTGTTATTTCGGATTCAGACGAACCACAGAATCAACTGATTTTTGTTGATTTGCAGGTTCATCCGAATGCACATGTCCAGTGGCCATACATATTACAATCTAATAGTATAATCAATTTTAGCTACCAAGATTTATTTTTTATTATATTGTTTACACAAGCCCTCCCACTACACGGTTGTTGGTACATCTAAAGGAGATTGGACGTAGATTGTACAATCACATTGTATACAGTCAGTTTTAGTGTACATGGAATATAGGTAATTGATGGAACACAGCTTTATTAAACCAAGGTACATAGAGATGGCCACCTGATGTCATAGGAGGATCTGTGAAGTACAGAAATAACACCTCAACCTTCTATCCCAAAGCCAAATTTTAAGCCATTTTTTTCTTTACAATCTACTGTGAAATATTTTCAACATATTCGCCTCGCCAGTCCTGTAATACTAGATGTCGCCATTCACCAAGAGGAAGGTAAAAATATGTTTTTCAGTTACTGTAAAAAGCTAATATACACTCAATGCTCATTTTAATCAATAGTTTTTAAGACAAAATAAATGTAAAAGCACCGCTGATAAAAACAGTGCATCTGAAATGTTGTCAATGCACTCTAACAGAGAAATTTCTTTTTGTCATATTAAAAGGAAAAGAGAAATAGCTTTTTATTCCACTTTCTTGAAATTATTGCTCCTAAACTGTTTGGTTTGGTTTTTCAGACTAATCATTAAATGGTGAAAAATCACTCTTAAACTCACAAAAACTGCCCTTGATTATAAATAATAGCCATGGATTGGAAGCTAAAAGCAGGCAAGAGCCCAGCCCTCAATCCAATTTATTCAGCAGCAATCCACATTCCATTTGTCTAGACTAAATATAGCAACGTTTACACAAGAAATCAATAGTACTTGCTGAGAGCACAGCAAAGGCATGAATATTTCATCAAACGCGGGGAGAGAGGGAATGATGGCAATCAGTAAGCTGACAGCTATGTAGAGGCTGACTGCGGCCCTCTGGATGAGTCACACCGGGCTGGACA